ATTACTTTTAATTAATAATTACTCTTAACTCTTGTTTTATACTTTTATTTGTATGAATTGATTGACAAAATAAAACGCTTTATTATTTAATATTTATCCTAAAAATTGCTTTCATTTTATATTTCTTATAATAAAAATATATTTAAATTAAAATGAATTATGAGTTTAAAAATCTGCTATAATTTATAGACCATATCCTTGTCGTCGATGTCATCGTCGGACTCGAAGCCTAAGTTGACGGCAATGGTTGGACTCAACTGTCGGTCCGTGTCTTGAGGTGTTGTTGCGGACGTGCAGTGGAAGCGACCCCTCGTCACGCCTTCGGAGGGTTGCGGTTGGAGTTGCTGTCCGTCCGGCCGTTTGGTCTCAGACTTGTCGCGCGAGCCCTGACTCGACGCCGAATCACTTCGTCCGCCATTCTCTCGACTTTCATCGATAGTGAAGATCTCATAGACGGTTGGCGTCCGTGTGTTGACCGGCGATACGGAACCCCTATTGGATGGCTCTGACTTGGGCTGATCCGACAGTTTGGCCAAATACGTGTTGGTCGGCGACGCATACTGTGGCAGATAGTCCTTGTTGTCAATCCACGGCGGGAACTCCTCCTGACGTATCACTTGTGCTGAAAACAACTCTGGATTCGACGGACTGTCTCTTCTCCAGGGAAGTGTCGATTCGGCTGTAGTCGAGGCTCTGGTGGCCGTCGCGTCACTACTTTGTTTTGATAACGACGAGTCCGGCGACACCTTTCTGGCCGTGAATTCAATGCCTCCGTCTTCGGAGTCATTGGGCGGACACTCGACTGTAGACCGGAAGGCATGCGAATCGGGTTTTACTGCAAAAAGGAAAACAAATGGCATTCAATTAATTGCAACATTGATTGAGAAAAGATTGCAAACAATTCGTACAATAATTATCTGATTTATTGATTTGAAAGTCATTATTGACTGATAGGTAACCGTTTGGCGGAGACGTCGGTGTCGTCGAGTTGTTTGAATTGCTGTCACTTTTCTGCAATTTCTTGAGTTTGCGTTTATGGTGTTTGTGCTGCTGT